AACTTAGGACCCACACGCTGCGTGGGGTTGAAACTTAGGACCCACACGCCGCGTGGGATTGAAACTTAGGACCCACACGCCGCGTGGGGTTGAAACTTAGGACCCACACGCCGCGTGGGATTGAAACTTAGGACCCACACGCCGCGTGGGGTTGAAACTTAGGACCCACACGCCGCGTGGGATTGAAACTTAGGACCCCACACGCCGCGTGGGATTGAAACTTAGGACCCACACGCTGCGTGGGGTTGAAACTTAGGACCCACACGCCGCGTGGGATTGAAACTTAGGACCCACACGCCGCGTGGGGTTGAAACTTAGGACCCACACGCCGCGTGGGGTTGAAACTTAGGACCCACACGCTGCGTGGGGTTGAAACTTAGGACCCACACGCCGCGTGGGATTGAAACTTAGGACCCACACGCCGCGTGGGGTTGAAACTTAGGACCCACACGCCGCGTGGGGTTGAAACTTAGGACCCACACGCTGCGTGGGGTTGAAACTTAGGACCCACACGCCGCGTGGGATTGAAACTTAGGACCCACACGCCGCGTGGGGTTGAAACTTAGGACCCACACGCCGCGTGGGATTGAAACTTAGGACCCCACACGCCGCGTGGGATTGAAACTTAGGACCCCACACGCCGCGTGGGGTTGAAACTTAGGACCCCACACGCCGCGTGGGGTTGAAACTTAGGACCCACACGCCGCGTGGGATTGAAACTTAGGACCCACACGCCGCGTGGGGTTGAGGTTAGACTAGAGAACGGCGGCAGCAGCACAGAGACACGGCCATTTTGGAAGGATCCACTTAGGGCAAGTTGGAAACATAAACTGGAAATGCTGATGGCTAGAATCAAAAGTTAATAAGACCATGAATAAGACCTAGAGTCAAAAGTTAATAAGACCTTGGAAAGAAGCAGTTGCAGCCAAGTCGGTCCTGGCTATAGCTGTTGCCGTATTGTGTGTTCATGGCCCTGTCTGCTGCTATGTAAATATTAACGAGTCTCTCCCATCTTACCCTATGCAGCCGGGGTCCCCAGCTTGTTAGGAATAGGACCGCACAGCAGGAAGTCATATCCCCACCCCCCACCCACCCGCATGTGAGAAAATAGTCCCTGCTGCCAAAAAGGTTGGGGACTACTGCTAGACAGGAATCCTGTGTGTGTGCTCCAAGAAATAGGAAGTTCCGGAAGCAAAGTGTTCTCATATTGGCATTTTTGATGTGTGATTCCATGTAGTGCTCTAAACCTTGCTTGGAGTTTAAGTGTTAACGTTTTCAACTATACGTTTTCAACTATTAGCTAATAATATTCACAGAATGTTCCAGTATTTGAATATTTAGTGTTGGCTACAGTTCTTGTAAATACTACAAACTAACCAAAAATTTTAAAAGATATATAATGAAGAGTTTGAAAAATATTTTAAGTATTTAAAGAATAACTTAAGATTTTGGGAATTCCTGAGGATTCCAGTTCCTCGTTTGTGAATCCTGGAGGTTAGTATGTCTCAGGAATTCAGAAACACTGGTACCAAGAGGTCAGGTTTATGCTTGGAGTTTCACCATATGCTGTGGCTTGGCTGCTCAGTTGCGTCCGAGCTCCTCTGTCCGTGGGATTCTCCAGGGAAGAATACTGGAGTGGGTTGCCATTCCCTTCTCCGGGGGATCTTTCCAACCCAGGGATTGAACCTGGGTCTCCGCATGGCAGGCAGATTCTGAGCCACTAGGGAAGCCGCTGGTTTTAGAGTTCTCGGCAACAGTTCTGTGAAGGGCCACAAGGTGGAGGTAGTGCTTCACGCAGGTAGCTGGTTTGGGCTCTAAACAGTCTTGCTCTTGACTTGAGACTGTGGATTGGATCCCTGGGACAGGAAGATCCCCTGGAGAAGGAAATGGCAGCCCACTCCAGCATTCTTGCCTGGGAAATCCCATGGACTGAGGAGCCTCCTGGGCTGCAGTTCTTGGGATCTCAAAGAGTCGGTCACGACTGAGCACACACATATTTGAGCAGGAGGGTTTTTTCCTTTGCTGAGAAAGGAGATTTCAGAAACATCCAGCCTGTATCTTCAAAATGTTTAAGGGAGAAATAATACTATACAAACTCTTCTTAAAAACAGAATAAGAGGAATTTATCAGTAAAGCCATCTGGGGCTACAGTTTTCTTTGTTGATAGCTTTTTTAAACTACCATTTCTTTTAATGCTTAACATACCTATTCATAGGTTATCTATTTTATCTATTTTTACCTGAATGAATTTTGGCGGCTTGTGTCTGTCAAAGGATTGGTCTGTTTCATCGGTGTTCTTGACTTCATAAACATAAAATTTTTTTATACTGTTTCCTTATTACCTTTTTAATGTCTGTAGATTCTGTAGTGATGTTCCCTTTTATTTCTGATATGCTGATTTTGTTTGCTCTTTTTTACCTTAGTCTGCCTAAAAGCTTTTGAGTTTTCTTTGTTTTTGCCTTGTAGCATGGGGCACAATCTTAGTTCCCTGACCAGGGACAGAACCCACGCCCCCTGTGGTTGAAGCGTGGGGTCTTGACCACTGGCCTTTTTATCCTCCTGTTTGTTAACCTCTTTTTTATAATGCTCATTTCATTGTTCTTTAACACTGATTAATTTCCTCTTTCACTCTTGCTTAAATTCATCTATTAATAGTTTAATTTTAACAACAATATCTTAGTAATTCTTTAAAAATCTTATCTTTTCCACATTAAACAGAATTACATAGTCTCTTTCTTGTTATTTTATGAAAAATTTTTGGTGTTGTCCTTCTGTCTGTATACCTACTGACTCTCACTTTAGGCAGATTGTCTGCCTTGTTTGTAAATTTTGATTGAAACATGCCTTTTTGAGATTTTTACTACCCTTTGTAGAAAATTTGAGTGTTCTTTTTTTTTCCCTCCTGTGATAATAGTTGTGACCTGGATTGTGGAAGTTTCCTACCACACAGGTCTTTTAAATGTTTCAAAAGTGTTCATGAGTGTTTTTTAGATCTGCTTCTGTTAGATAATTTCAACATGATTTCTGTCATCTCAGCATTGATATTTGTTGCTTATCTCTACCTGGCTTTTCACGTGCTGAAATAATTTTGGAATGTATTCTGGACATGTTCTTAAAAACTTTTTTTATTTATTTTATTTTTTGGTTGTGATGGATCTTCACTGCCTCACGGGCTGTGCTCTGGTCTTGGTGAGCGGAGGCCGCTCTGGCTGCAGTGCCCGGGCTTCCCCCGGCGGTGGCATCTCTTGTTGCGGAGCGTGGGCGCTCGGGCCGTGGGCTCAGTAGCTGCAGGTCCCGGGCTCTAGGGCACAGGCTCAGTAGTCGTGGCACCCAGGCTTAGTTGCGCCAAGACCTGTGAGATCTGCCTGGACCAGGGAAGGAGCCCATGCCTCCTGCGTTGGCAGGTGGATTCTATGAGCCACCAGGGAAGCCCCCGAGACATTTTTAATACGATTTTTGTGGGACCCTGGGTCTTCTTTAAATCTCTAAGTTTGTTGGTACTTCAGATTTTTATCTACACCAGTATCTGTGATTACTTTACAGAGTCCTCAAGTAGCTACTTCATGCGTTCTGTCAAGGATTTATAACTGCCTTCAGTGGAAAAGGTGGAGTGGAATGTGTTTGCTTTATCTTACCTAGAATCTTCCCTCCAGAGGATTTTACATTTGCTTTATTAAAAAACACTAGCTCCTGACCAATTTTTATGTTCCTTTCCTAAGATTTGAACTTCAACTTTAAATCCCAAACCTAAATTAGGCACACTGCCCTTTGTTTGAATTCTGAGGTGAACTGAGTGCAGAAACCAGACAAAATTCCCTACTGTCTTCCTGTGACAGTAGACATAGTTATTTATTCTTTCAGTAAGAGTTTTAGTTTTATGCCGGAGCACAGACTTGGCCTCAGTTTCATCCCCCTTCCTGTGGTGGATCCAGTGTTTTCTGCCTGTCCCCGACAGAGGATTCCCTGATGGCTCAGGCGGTAAAGCATCTGCTTGCAATGCAGAAGACCTGGGTTCAGTCCCGGGGTTGGGAGGACCTCCTGGAGAAGGAAATGGCAACCCACTCCAGTATTCTAGCCTGGAGAATCCCATGGACAGAGAAGCCTAGTAGGCTATAGTCCATGAAGTAGCAAAACGTCGGTCACAACTTCTCTTTCACTTTCAACAGAGGATTAAAGGTTTTCTGGGACTTCCTGGTGGTCCAGTGGTTAAGACTCTGTACTTAAACTGCAGGGGGTGTGGGTTCCATCCCTGGGTGGAGTGAAGATCCTGCACACAGTAGTGTCGCCAAAACAAACAAACTTTCACCGCAAGCTCTCTGACGTCATCTACCCCACTATTTTTCTTTATCCTTTTTTCTGCTATACCACGGATTCCCTTTTTTCTTTTAAATATAGCTGTTCATTAAAACTTCAAGATTTTATTTTATCTAGCATTTATAAGGGTTTATAGCAGAGAGATTTTTCAGATTTTCTTGATCTCTGTCTCGTTGAACTAGAAAAATTCTATAGAACTTGTCTTTTAAAAATCAACTCATGCACGAAAACAAAATTGGAGGCCTACATGGGATAGTAAGTCATTTATTGAGAAAATTACTGGAGTTTTGTATACACACATGTAGATATAAGTGTAAATGTATATTTGTGTTTGTGTGTTTATATTTGAGTATATTTTAGGCTAGAAACTAAAGCTCCTGTTACGATTATCAAGGAAAAAAAAAAACCCAGTGTATTTGCTTTGGAAAAGATATTTTCAGTATAATGAAATTAATACTGGCTTTCAATTAAAACTTTTCAGATACTTTGAGAACAAAGATAAACAGGCTCTAAATAACTAGAGAACCGAGTTCTGTGTGGTCACTTTTTCTGTTTTGTTTGCTTGCTATCTGCTAGTACCTTGGCATTCAGTGTAAAATTCCGTAGGAATCTCAGGTTGGGTAGGGAGGCTGCCTTTTTCGTGCCGTGGTTTCTTGTCAGACATGTTCTCTGCTTCTCCCTGCCAGGAATGAGCAGCGACAGCGACATCGAATGTGACACGGAGAACGAGGAGCAGGAGGAGCGCGCCGGCCTGGGCGGGTTTAGCGACCCCTTCATGGCGCAGCCCCCAGACGAAGGTGCGGCCCGCGGCGGCGTCTCCCAGGGCTCGCAAAACCACCTCTGCGGCTGCTGCTGCTCTTTCCTTTGCTTGTCTCTGCTGCTTTTTTAAATTATTGTCATCTGTGAGGTGACATTCTGTGGGTAGACTAAATGATGAGTATTGAAAAAATTTGGTAGGCTGTATTTGCCTGGTCAGACACCTGATGATGCATGCTACTTAATGAGCGAATCTGATGTTGACAACCTGCTTTGGTGCAGCCTATGACCCGAGAATAGTTTTTACATTTTAAAGAGTTGTTTGAAAAAAAAAGAAAGCAAAACAGAGACCGATAGTGGCCTGTAGTGCCTAAGTGTTAGCCAGCCCCCTTGGGAGGTTTCAGATACTTGATTTCCTTTTTTCTTTTCAGAGATATTTGTAGCTTAGCTAATAAAGTAAGTTTTTAAAAGACAGCCTTTTCCAGGGACTTCCCTGGTTGTTCAGTGGTTAAGAATCCGCTTTCCAATGCAGGGGACATAGGTTCGATCCCTGGTCAGGGCACTAAGATCCCACATCCACCAGGGCAGCTAAGCCTGTGTACAACTAAAGAGAAGCCCACGGGTCGCACATAGAGAAGCCTGCGTGCTGCAGCGAGAAATCTCACAGGCTGCAGTGAAGACCTGTGCTGCAACTAAGACCCAGTGCAGCCAAATAAATAAATATATTTTTAAAAAGGACAACCTTTTCTGAGTTTAGAAATGTGTGCAGATTATAGAGTCATTGATTTACCTCTTCCTTCCAAAAAATCAAAAAGTCTTAGGGGAAAAACTGAGAAATCCACTGTTACTAGTTTTATTTTAGATGTACAACATAATGGTTTGATACATTGCAAAATGATCACCACTATAAATTTAGTTAACTTGCATCGCCCATTGTTAGTATTTTATCCAGAGACCTTAATGGTTAATCTGAGCATTCTTCTATAAGAGATCCTGGAATGACAACATTGTCATGACAATGTTAATTGTCATCTTTTATTTTTATTTTGCGTTATTTCCCTGATAGGCTAGTGTCTTTTTCAATACAGAGCCAAGTGTTTAATGATTTTTAAGTATTAAGGTACTCTTAGTAATTTTCTCTGCTTCTAAAAGAAGCAGCCAAATTTGAGGCAAAGTTATTTTGAGCATTGGTGGGTTTTTGTAGTGATGTTTGCATGCTCAGTTTAATTGACTTGGAGATACATTTTATATTTACAAAAACATCTTTTAAGTGTCCACCATCATCATTCCTTACTCTGTTCTTCAGCTGCTCCCAGGGTGTCCCCAGAGGACAGCAGGCAGTGCCTTCTGTCTTCTAATTGTGGGCATCTATTAACACATTTTGGTTTTTTTCTCCTTTATTTTCTGTTTGTGTTTGTTTACGGTTGACTCTGATAAAGAATTCTCTAAGAATAGAGATTTGTTTACAACCCAGCACATCTTTCTTTATCACTTAGTAACACACTTGCTAAGATCATTTAGAGATATGGAAGAGAAAATACAGGCCTTTAAAAATTGTTAACTGTTTTTTATTATTTTCTCCTAGATACACATTCCAGTTTTCCTGATGGTGAACAAATAGGCCCTGAAGATCTCAGCTTCAGTACTGATGAAAACAGCGGAAGGTAATTTTCAAATCAAGAGAACTGACTTGCAAGCCACCTTGACCCGCAAATTCGCTGTCGTTGGTGCTCAAATTTGTCAACGGTCAGATAATCAGATTTTTTCACCATCTCTACTTGAAATAGTAATTGAGACTTTAGAAAGTAGCACGATTCTAGTATAAAACATTAGTACAAAGGAAAAAATTAAATGTGGGAAGAATTCTGTGTATTGTAATGAAATAACAGTGTAGCCTCAATTAATTTAGTACATTAGTGTATTCATAAAAGGCAGTTGGTCTGCTCCAGCAGACGGGCAGCTAGCTGCCAGGAAACGGGCTTGGAGGCCGCGCATGCGCCCAGTCTCTGCTTGCCGTTGGCGCTCTCCTGTCTGGGCTGGAGACTCGGTTCTGCTGAAATGACCGCCTTTGTAGTTTGGGTTTTAATTACAGTTTCTAGTTTCATTAGTGCCTCTAGACTAGTGAGGAGAAATATCACTAATGTGTAGATTCTGCCCTGAAGACACTTTATGTGAATAACTGAAGTAACACTAGACTGAATCTCCTCTTTGGAATGTGTTGACTGACTGAGGTTAATTTTTCTTTTCTTATTTGTTCAAGTGCAGGCAGGCACACTGATTAATGGCACATACGCTGTCTTTTGTGTGAGTTTTACAAATGCGGTTTTAAATGAATTAAGTTAATGTGAATTGGTTATGTTCTTGGTCATATAAACACATATAAGAACATTTAAAATTATTTCACTTTTTTCTGCTCCTTACCAAACAACTACAGAGCAACAAGTATTTTAAAACCCTGTTTTTTCCTTTGTTTTCATTAGCTGGACATTGATTTCAGTGTCAATACATTTAAAGATTCCCACATGTTATACATGAAAGCGTGCTATAATGTTTACTTTTATACTCAGAATTAGTCCAAAATTATTGCCAGACTTCACCATTGTGCTCCTGCATTTGTTTTTGAGCTGCTATACCATTTGAAAAGGACACTGAAAGCTGACTAAGAGACTATTGGAAAAGCATGAGTTATATATACATTTGAGAGGCATTTCATCTGCTTATTTTTACTTAATGAATATTGTTCCCTTTTCCATGTCTAGTGTCTTGCCGAACGCTATGATTCATGGTTTGCTTTTGTTCAAAACAGTTTGCACTTTTTGTTAATAAAATGAACTTGAGAAAATGTTATGTCTCTGCAATTTATTAAAACTGGGACAGGAAGCCCTCTTTTTCGTATTCCTATTGCCTGTGTATAATAGATGCTTTTGAGCTGTTATTAGATGCATAGGGAAGTTAGAAGACTTATTTATAATCTCCATAATGTAAGTGGTTACTTTTCCCCCTTAAATTAGTTGGAAATATTTAAGTAGTATAATCAGATGAGAAGTAAAAATTGAGCATTTGCTTACTGTCATGATAGCATTGATATGCCACTATATAGTTATTAAGTAGTTTATTGTGCAGTGATGTAAAATGTTACTAATAAGTTCTTCACATTTCATTTTCTGTTAGCTAGAGATGTATTTGTGTTTAGTACATTTTGATGAGATCATATTTTAAATCCAGCTTTGTCTTATTTCTGCACTACATTGTAATGGGTAAAACTGTTACGTAAGAATTTTGTCCCATTGGTGTTGACAGCAAGTCATTGTAAGACTTGATATTGTAGGGTTTCTTTTTTTTTCAAGTGCGTCTTATAAGAATTCATAAACACACGTGTGATTGACTCTACTTTGAAACTCACTGTTGCATAGCTGTTTCTTGACCTGTATTTGATATAGAACTGAGTGCTTTTCCATGAACCTTTGTAAGTTCTTATTTTCAAAATATGGAAAACCACATGTGGTTAAGAATTAAGAGAAACCTGAGACTAGACTGTTCATTTCGGAAAATTTGTAAGAGCTTTAAGCACAAGTGATTTAATCGTGAGATTCTCTTGGGTCATTACTCTACATGATAGCATCCTGAGGTATCCTTTTTTCCTTTGTTAGGGGGAGGTATCCAGTTTTGTTTGTTTTCAAATTGTAAATGTTCTTAACTTTTACTCTTATTTTTTATGATCATAAAGTGGATTCCCCAGAATGGCATGAAGATATGTGAGTCACAGAACATTTGGGTCTTGGATATTTTTCGGCTTTGCTTATGCCCTCAGGTTATGTATAAGAGCACTGAGGAGCGCTGCCCTTGTTTCATACAAATTGAGAATTGGTTGAGACCGTTTTACATTGGTGGAGTCTGAATTTACTATGTCAGCAAGACTGTTTTTCTTGTTATAGCTATAGGAAGTTTTGAAGGTATTTTTATGCATGACAAAAATTTTGTAGGGAAAATTACTTGAATTTAATTGGTATATTATCTTCTTGTGTGTTTTAGAAACCCAAGCCATTTGTACCATCTCCTGATTCCATATTAATAATAAAGTCTATACCTTGAAAAGCTTAAAAAGTAAGCTTCTAAAGAAATGATTTGTAACTGCCCTCCTGGCATGAAATTCTGTGTTTTTATAATTAAAGTTAACAGAGGGTTTCATGAAAAAAAGAAGAAAAAAACCCAACAAACTTGTAGGTATCTAAAGGATGTACTCAAAAACAGTTCTCCTGTGATGAAGATCATGTCATGTCTGTTTTGTTGGTTACAGTTCACCTCCAGTATTGTGAATTGTTTGTGAATTGAAAAATAGTAAGAAATATGTAGCATGTATGAATTCATGCCATCCATTGAAGAAAACTTCTGGGGCATAACAAGTGTCTACCTGGCATTTCCTCTAGGGGTTGACAGACTTCTAGCCTTGAGCCAAATCCGTACCGCTATCTGTTGTAAATAGTTTTGTTGGAACATAGTCACATCCATTCATTTACAGATTGTCCACAGATGCTTTTGCCCTGCAGAGGCAGAGTTGAGTAGCTGCTTAAGCAACCTAATGGCCCTTGAGCCTAAAATATTTACACTCTTACCCTTTGCAGATAAAATTTGCCAAGTTCTACTTTGTCACTGATATTAATAGGAGGTTCACTTTGAGAGAGGTAGATTTGAGAAAAGGCATGATTTTTAACTCAAAAAGATCAAACATTTGATTAGTTGTTTTGTGCTTAGTTTTTGTGATATGGGGTTTTGGGCATCTGCTATTTGATTCATTCTGTGATCCTGATAAGACTGAAAGACCTAATGATTTCCTCAAAAAATGGAAGGCCCTATTAGCTTTTGGTAGTGGGATCTTTGGAAAAAACAGTTCCTTCCCCAGTTTCCGCTGTGCCACCTACTAAGTGCACCTGATTCTGCAGCGCTGCCGGCATCCATCTTCCTTGAGGTCCTCTGATGCCAGCCTTGCCTCTGCTGGGTTTTAGGTAGCAGTGAGGGAGGGAAGAGGCACAGAAGAGGATATCAGTTCTTTCTCCCCTCTCCCCAGTGGTGGTTCATGACCTAGTCTGCAAGAGCTCTGAGGCAAAAGAGCTTCCCCCGTCTTCCCACATTTGACTGTCATCACCCACAGTCTCTGAAAGGCATGGTAGTCGACCCAGATTTCCAGTCAGTCACTCCACTTGTCCTGCTCTCTGGTACTTTCTATTCCATAACAGAATCCTAACTTAAAAATTTTTTTTCCTCCTTTTGTTGAAAGGCATAGTTCTTCTTGGTTTCATTGGGTTGCGTTGGGCCTTAGTTGCAGCACACGGGATCTTCATTGCAACATGAGGGTCTTCAGTTGCTGCATGCGAGCTCTTAGTTGTTGCACATGGGATTTAGTTCCCTGACCAGGGATTGAACCTGGGCCCTTTGCACTGGGAGCGCAGAGTCTTAGCCACTGGGCTGCCAGGGAAGTCCCATCATTTGGTATTTTAATCTCAAGTTTGGTCCTGGGAAATTGTCCAGTAGAGTATTTTCTCCTAGACTTAAAGATGTAAGAGTAATGCATGCATTGTGCCCAGGCATATTGTTTCTGTACAACCTGGACCAACTGTGTCATTGAATCTGTGAGTAACCTTTGAGGGGAACTGGGTGTCGTGCCCATTTGGCAGAGAAACAGGAGATTCAGGGAGGTGGTTCAGCACCACTGGCAGGGATGCAGTAAGATACTAGTTGAGTACTTTTTCCACTTTGTCGCACTTGGGCCAAATTCACCATTTTGATACCTAATAATTAAAAACCTAAATATTGTCCTTTTTTTAAAACTTTTTATTTTGAGATAATTTTAGATTTATAATAGAGGTGCAGAAATCTTGAGAGTGTTCCTGTACAGCCAGCTTCTCTTTTTAAAAACATTTTAATTGGAGGCTAATTACTTTAGAGTATTGTGGTGGTTTTGCCATACGTTGACGTGAGTCAGCCATGGGTGTACACGTGGCCCCCTCCTGAGCCCCCTCCCGCCCCCCTCCTCATCCCATCCCTCAGGTCGTCCCAGCCCCCCGGCTGTGAGTGCCCTGTCTCCTGCATCGGACTTGGACTGGTGATCTAACTTCACACCTAAAGCAACTAGAAAAAGAAGAAATGAAGAACCCCAGGGTTAGTAGAAGGAAAGAAATCATAAAAACTAGGGCAGAAATAAGTGAAAAAGAAACAGAGGAGACTACAGCAGAAGTCAACAAGACTAAAAGCTGGTTCTTTGAGAAGAAAAATAAAATAGACAAACCACTAGCCAGACTTATCAAGAAAAAAGGGGAGAAGAATCCACAAAATTAGAAATGAAAATGGAGAAATCACAACAGAACACGTAAAGTCATCAAAGACTACTGTCAGCAACTGTATGACAATAAAATGGACAACTTGGAAGAAATGGACGAATTCTTAGAAAAGTATAACCTTTCAAAACCAAAACAGCTTCTTTTTTTGTGAACAGATCCACGACCATAGACGAGTGACCAAGAGGAAGGCGCCAGTCTTGCTTGCAGCCAGCACGCGGACCGCCGCCAGCTTTGCTCGGATTTCACCCGTCCCTCCCTGCAGGCGCTCGTTCCCTCCCGGCGTCCGCCCCGCAGTGGTTGGCACGTCTTGGTGCCCCGGCTCAGGCTCT